CAATCCGTCTCCGATTTCTTGGTTGCTGTTACCAAGAATGTTGACTGTGGAACCAAGTTAACTAAAACTGTTAACTATCTTAATCTCTTCAGCATCCATACTGATGCTGCCAATTGGCCCAATGGTGAGAATCTTTGTTTTCTTGATGTTGAGCTTCAATCCATATAGGAGGCTGCAGTCCTTGACCTCCTGCAGCAAGTGCTTCAGGTCCTCTTCAGTTTCAGCAAGCAGGGGTGTGTCACCTGTATAACGCAGGTTGTTGATGATTCTTCCACCAGTCCTGATGCCACATTCCTCCTCATATAGCCCAGAGTCTCGGATGATCTGTTCTGCATATAGATTGAAAAGGTATGGAGACAGAACACATCCTTGATGACCCTCTTCTTGATTTTAAAGCATGTAGTGTCTCCTTGCTCTGTTCTGATGATTGCCTTTTGGTCCAAATATAAGTTTCACATTGTTGTTGTTGTTTTTGTTATGTGCCATCGAGTCGCCTGTGATTCTGGGATTTCCATTCTTCTCAGAGTCAGCCATAGCTTGTTGTGATCCACACAGTCAAAAGACTTTGCATAGTCAATGAAACACAGATAAACATTCTTCTGGTATTATTTTCTTTCTGCCAAGATCCATCTAACATTAGCTATAATATTCCTAGTACCACAACCTCTTCTAAATCCAGCCTGCACATCTGGCTGTTCTCTGTTGACATATTGTTCCAAATTTTTTGGGATAATTTTCAGCAGAGTCTTGCTTCCATGTGATATTAATGATATTGTTTGATAATTTCTATACTCGGTTAGGTCATCATTTTTTTGAATGGGAACAAATATCGATCTTTTCAAGTCAGTTGGCCAGTTGACTGTCCTCCAGATTTCTTGGCACAATTTAGTGAGCACATCCAAGGCAGTGTCTGTATGTTGAAACATGTCAATTGTTATGCCATCAACTCCTGGAGCCTTGTTTTTCACCAATTCCTTCAAAGCAATTTGAACTTCCTCCTTCATCACCATAGGCTCTTGCTCATATGTTATTTCATGAAATTCTTCTGTGTCAGCCAATTCCTTCTGCTACAATGACTCTGTGTACTCCTTCCATCTTCTCTTGATACTCTGGATCATTTAACATTTTACCCAAAGTATCCTTAAGTATTGCCACCTTAGCTTGAATTTTTTTTCAGCTCCTTCAGCTTAAGAAACGTTGAGTAAGTTTGGTGCTTTTGATTTTCTGACTCCAGCTCTCTGCACATTTCATTATTGAAGTCATATTGGCTGCATCGTAAGAAACTGACAGCAGCATGATATGTTCAGAATCACAGACATCCTGATGGCTTGAGACTTAGGCCATCACATCAGGGGCTGCTCAATGGGAGACGGATGTTGAATGTCGTGGACAGTGAATACCACTATAATTCAAATATATGCATACCAAATACCCATGGAAAAAACAGTCAAGAAATCAAACAGCATATTCCATTAGGCAAATAAACTTTCGAGGATCTCTTCAACACATTAAAGAGCAAGGAGGTCAACTTAAAGGCTAAAGTATACCTAACTCAAACCATGGTGTTTTCAATTGCTTTGCGGATGCACTGAAAGTTAAACAAAGAATAAGGAAGACTGAAGAAGAATTGATGCCTTTAGATCTTGGTGTTGGCAAAGAGTACTGAATATATCATTGTTGTTATGTTACTTGCGACTCATAGTGACCCTATGTGCAAAGCCCTAAACTCTGCTCTGTCACTGCCTCTGGCACACCCACCCCAATTATCCCAGTCACTGAATCAATCCACCTCATAGAGGGTCTTCCCCTCCTGCGCTGTCCCCCATGGACTGCCCCAAAATCAGACAATCTGTCTTGGAAGGAGTATAGCCAAAGTTCTCTTTATAGGCAAAGATGGTGAGACTTTATCTTTGTACTTTGGGTATGACATCAGAAGGGGCGAGTCCTTGAAAAAGGGCATCATGCTTGGAAAAGTAGAGGGTTAGAGAACAAGAGGAAGATCTCAATGAGATGAACCAACAGGGACTGAACAATGGACACAGCAGACAATGTGAAGGCAGCATCCACACAACAGAATAAGGGAAAGATCGAGCAGGGTTTGGAACAAAAAGAACATACTCAAGAGAGTGAGTACAATATACATATAGATACAAAGATAAAAGGAACAGAATACAGAGCCTAGAAATAGAACTACACATATTTAGTCAATTAAATTTTTACAGGAGTAAAAAATTACAGGCAATTCCTTTTTCAACAAATTGTCCTGGAGCAATTGAGTCACCACATATAGCAACAATCAACAGATTTTAATCATATAAAAATTGTACTGAACATAATAAAACTAAGTGGATAATTAAAAATCTACAGCTGGAGGAAAATAATTAGATGACCTAGCTAATTTATACAGTCCAGGAGTTATTACAGAAAGAGGATGAAATTAGAAAGTACATCACAGCATGAGAAATTATATTTTTTGTAGTTTTTTGTTTATTTTTTGTAGTTTTTAAAATATTTTTCCTTTTTAAATTTTATATTAGTTTTCTCACAAAGGAGTAATGATCTTTTATATCTTGAAAGATTTGTTGTTGTTAAGATATAAAATTAATATTTTTTTAAGTATAGTAAATGAAATTCCTTAAGTCATTGCTCTCATTTCACCTGCCAATCAAAGAGTAAATCCTGTACAAAATCCTTAATTTCACTTCTACTCACCAAAGGCTAAGAGAAGTAAAAAGAAATGATACATGATCTATTCTAGATGAAGTATTCTTTAAAGCATTCACAGTGGGATAGAGAGGAGAAAATATCTACATTTCTACCTAAGCGATTTCTTTTTCTCAGTGATATTTAGGATATTGAGAGTGAATGTACAGACCAATGCACATGGATCCCACTGCTCTGATGACACTCAGAAGTGTGCCTTCAGCTAGTTTAGGAATCCTCAGTAAACGAACCAGAGGTGCAATTCCATTCCCTTCACAGATTTGATTTTGGTGCATTCTGCTGTCCTTACTTAGAGCTATGACTGCTTCACCTCCTGATAAAGAAAGAGAAACGAGATAAAGGGGGAAGTCTGGTATTCCAACTCTCTATTTACTTTGCCCAGTTTATGTATAGAAAATAACTTACCGACATATTGCATTTTAGCTGATGGTGACAAAAGCATATTTATTATAAAGTTGTATCCAATCTGTTCTGCCATGAACTTCTGTTGTTTCAACGTCTGTCCTGCCAAGGACCAAAGTGCCACAGCTCCTTGTTCCTTAACATCTACTTTAAATGCCTATTTTTTAAAAAGCCATTAATTCAATGAAAATTTATTGAACACTGAAGTTAATGTAGTAATCATGGATAAAATTGAAAATGGAGTATTCACTTATAAAAATGAAAACCAATCATAAAATTCTTACCTTTAGGAGCTTTAAAAGATATTGAATTATTGAGTTTTCAAAAAAAGCCTTCTGTATAGAAGGATTGTAACTTGCCAGTGATTCGACAGCCATTGCACCTTTCACTTGGACATTAAGGAGTTTCCCTTTAAATAGGGCCACCAGAGGACTAATCCCTCCTTCTGTAACTACAGCATTCTGAACCTCAGTGTTGTTGCGGGCCATTTCAGCAATGGTAGCAGAAGACACAGCCTTCAACACATCTTCAAATGAATTCCAGAACCAGTTAAGAAGGGGGAAAGTAAAACGGTATCACAATTCAAGATATCTTTAATTTCTCATATTATAAAACTAAATTTATAGACAACAATGGAAAATAGTCCCTGTAAGTTAGAACCAATTTTCCTGCAATAAGTTTGAGAACTTTTTCTTACACTGCAATATATTGAGTCAATGTTTTTCCTGCTGAACTAGAATAGAAAGAAAGATAATAAATTGGATAATGAAATAAAGAGAGAAATTTTTCTTCCAAAAATTTTTGGAAAACTCTAGACTTGAGATTATGCTGTTAAGTATGCTCACAGAACTGAGGTAACTCTTATAGAACCTAAGAGTCCATTTGCAAGTAGTTGTAGTAACTACATCATAGCATTTGGTATTCTTGGTGTTGTGAGTAATGTTGAATATAATTATTCACCTAGTGTTTTCTGATGACTTCAAATTATGAAATCAAATACCTGAGCTGTAGCTTGCAAAATATTTTCTGGTTATCAATGTGTGTATCGTCCAAACAAGGTGGAATCTATTATTCTGGGAACAAATAATGCCAGAAATTTCAGTTTAAGTGTTCCAGCTATTTACATCATATCACCTCTTTCTAGATAATAATCCAGGACACATGCGTGTATGGGACAATACAGCCAATCTCTTTAGAGTAATAGAGATAAAGGCTCACCTGAATCAGAACTCAGAAAGGTGATAAGATAATGGATGCCGTTGTGGTCTTTTACTGCTTTTTGATTGTCTGCATTTCCTATGCATAGAACCCGTATACAATTCATCACATTTACTAGTACGTTTTCTATGTCTGATTTCAAGAGATTTACCAGAGCTAGGATTCCATTCTAAAACAAAAAAATATCATTGAATTCATTTGAGATACATGCAGTCTTTGTATGGAAAATCAAGTCTATAATTTGCCTTGATTTAGACCCCTGCTTATCTAGGAGAGAATCAACATTCTTAAGCAAAGGTGTCTGTAATGACAGTGTACAACACATGATAGTTATCACCATTTTGAACAAAGGTTGTGTATGACAATTAAGGTATAGGTTCTACAAATATATTCTGAAATAGCTGCCTTTATAAAAAAATTTGAAACTGAGAGTTCACTGTTGTTGGGTACTGTTAAGTATTACTCATGGCAACCCTACGAGCATTAGAAATGAAAGGTGCTATATCCTGTGCTGTCCTCATCATCTCTGTCACACTGCCCATTGTTATGTGTCAATCCATCTTGTTAAAGATCTTCCCCTCTTTTGCTGAGTCTTCATTTTTTTGAGCATGATCTCTTCCTTCAGTAACTAACCCCTCCTAACAACATGCTCAATGTATGTGAGCTAAAGCTTCATCACCTTCTCTAAGGAGCATCCTGGCTGCCCCCTCTCCAAGACATACTTGTTCATTCTTCTGGCAGTCCATGGGATATTTAGTTCATTGTTGTTGTTGTTGATTGCCTTCAGGTTGAGCACAACTCAGAGCAACCCTATGAACAAAAGGCCTGAAGCCCCTCTACAATTATTGACATTTATCAAAGTTCATAGAGTTTCCAGAGTCATGTTATTTAGGAAGTGGATGGCACTGCATAGTATGCTATTGTTTTTATGTGCCACGGAGTCGCCTGCAATGTATAGTGACCCTATGTACAGCAGCTCTGAACCCTTTCCTGTCCTGAGCCAGTCTCACTAACACTGACACACTAACCCCTATTGCCTCAGTCACTGTATCAATGCATTTCATCCAGGGTCTTCCTCTCCTGCGCTGTCTGACCAACCTTCTGAGCACAATGTCCTTCTCCAAGGATGGGTTGCTCCTGGCCACATGCCCAAAGTAAGTGAAGCAGAGATTCAAAATCCTAGCCTCCATCTACAACCAGGAGAAGATAAAATAGATGAATGGGACCTTCTAAGAATCAAATTCCTATGCACTTCCAAAAACTTCTTCAACAGGGTAAAAAGGGAAGCCACAGACTGGGAAAAAGGTTTTGGTAATGACATGTCAGATAAAGGACTTATATCTAGACTTTATAAAATACTTGAACACAACAACAAGACAAAAATAAATAACCCAATTGAAAAATGGGCACAGGATATGAACAGACACTTCACCAAAGAAGACATTCAGGTGGCCAACAAGCACATGAAGAAATGTTCAAAATCCCTAGCTCTAAGAGAGATGCAAGTCAAAACAACTATGAGATATCATCTCACCCCAGTCAGAATAGCAAAATTTAACAGAACAGCAAGCAACAAACGCTGGCAAGGTTGTGTAAAAACTGGAACCCTTATTTACTGTTGGTAGAAGAGTAAAATGGTGCAATCATTGTGGAAAGTGGTATGGCACTTTCTCAAAAAGTTGCAAATAGAGAGACCATTTGACCCAGCAATTCCAATACTGAGAATATACCCTAAAGAGACCATAACTGACATCCAAGCAGATATATGCACACCCATGCTTATCACGGCTTTGTTCACAATAGCAAGGAGTTGGAAACAACCCAAGTGCCCATCAATAAATGAATGGATAGGGAAGCTGTGGTATATTCACACAATGGAATACTATGCTGCATTGAAAAACAAGGAACTCATGCAATATTGTTCAAAATGGGTGACCCTGGAGGACATTATGCTGAGTGAAGTATCTCAGTCACAAAAGGACAAATACTGCATGGTGTCACTGTTGTAGAATGGGACTGACATCAGGGTTGGGGTAGGACTGAGAAAAAATGGATAAAGTATGTATACTGCATTGAAACAGATGAGGGAGAGAACAATTTAAAAGCGATATATGATAGGGTATTATGGTTATCACAAGAGTCCAGAATTAAGGTTGCATAGTGGAGTGTACTCGGGGCGGTGGTGTGGGGGCTGTGGGGGGATTGTAAACCAATGAAAGAATTTTACTTTTCAAAGAGAGGAGTGAACTGGCGGGGAGGGGTGGGCAGGGAGAAAAGTGCAACAATGAATAAATGGAAATTCAAAATCTCTGTAAATGTTCATTAAAATTAATAAAATTGATTTTTTTTTAAAAAAAATCCTAGCCTCCAAGGGGAGACTTGGTTTCACCCTCTCCAAGACAGACCTATTTGTTTTCTTGGCAGTCCATGGTATATTCAAGACTCTTCTCCAGCACCACAACTTGAAGGCATCTATTCTTCTCTGTTGTCCTTAGTCATTGTCTAACTCTCTGAAGCATAGTAAGTAATTGAGAAGACCATGGCCTGGATTAGGCACACCTTTGTATTTAAACGGATATCGTTGCTCTTCAGCACTCTGGAGAGGTCTATGACAGTAGATTTTCTCAATGCAATTAATCTTTTGATTTCCTGACTACCGGTGTTAAAAGTGTTGATTGTGGATCTGAAGAAGCTGTAATTGCTCACAACCTCAATCTCTTCTCTATCTATTACGGTGCTGCCAATTGTCCCAGTGGTGAGAATCTTTGTCTTCCTGTGTTCATTGTAATATGTGTTAAATATTTAAGATGACTAAATAAGATCAATTGAAAATAATGTTCCATTTGGAATTGTATGCCATTGTGGATATTAGATTGGTAATTGATATTGCATTTGTGCAACACAAAAATTAAATATATATAATGGCCAACTATATTAATGTCTAACCATATCATTAATATCATGTTTAAGTAAAATATTGAGGATTATTTTTAAAAACAAGAGGCCTTCGAACAAAGGATAACATTGCTGATGAAAGATGTATCTTGGTTTAAAGCAGAGAATACCAGAAAGATGTTTATCTGTGTTTTATTGACTATGTACAAGCATTTGACCATGCAGATCATAACAAATTATGGCTAACATTGAGAAGAATGGGAATCCCAGAAAACGTTGTGTTCAGGTGAAATATATTCATAGATCAAAAAGCTGTTGTCCAAAGGGAACAAGGGAATAATGCATGGTTTAAAATCAGGGAAAGTGTATGCTGGATTTGTGTCCTCTCTCCATACCTATGTAATCTGTATGCTGAGCAAATCATTCCCAAAGCTGAACTATATGAAGAATGGCATAAGCATTGAGGAAGACTCATCAACAATCTGCATTATGCAGATGATACAACCTTGCTTGCTGAAAGTGAAAAGGACTTGAAATACTTGCTTCAGAAGTTCAAAGTCTACAACCTTCAAAATGGATTATATCTTAACATCAACAACAACAACAAAATTCTCACCACTAATAGGCAGCATCATGATATATGAAGAAAAGAATGAAATTGTCAATGATTTCATTATACTTAGATCCACTTTAGAGACCAAGGTAACAGCAGTCAAGAAATCAAAATTAGGATTGCATTGGAAAAATCTAGTGTCAGGGACCTCTCTCCAAAATGTCAAAGAGCAATGTCTACTTTTAAAGTTTAAAGTCTAAGGTGTGCCTGATCCAAGCCTGGCCTTTTTCAATTACTTCCTAAACATCTGAAAACTGAACTATGAATAAGGATGACAGTATAAGAATTGATGCCTTTGAATTGTGATGTTGGAGAAATACTGAATATCCCATGAACTTCCTACAGAACAAACAAATGTTTATTGGAGGAAGTGCAACCACCCTGCTCCTTAGAGGCAAGGAGGTAAAACTCCGTTTCACACACTGGGCATGTGGTCAGAAGTGGGTGGTCCTTAAAGAAGGGAATCAGGCTGGGAAAAATAGAGGGTCAAAGAAGAGAGGAAACGCTTAGTAGGTGGATTGCCCCTGTGACTGTAACTATTGTAAGGAGACCCAGGATAGAACAAGGTTCAGATCTGTTAGAGTTGCTATGAGTGGTAGTCAATTCAACGCCATTGAACAATACAACAACAACAGCATGCTGATGTACATGTTGTTTGCTGTGCTGTGAATAACTGTTAACTCTCATCTATTAAATCTTGTCTGCTTTTGGAATTTAGAAGGTTGGGACATAGTTATTCCTTGTCACCCTCATTGAAATGAATACCTTTTCTGAAAGGCTTGCTTTCCATAACGCGGATCTCTAAAGCTCCTCAACAGGGAAGGGCACCAGCAAGGAAGCTATGCTGCTAACTGAAGGACGCCCCTCTCCAGTCTTTGAATCCACCCGCGACCCCACAGGAGAAAGACGAGCAGTCTCCTCCTGTGTGACTTATGGCCTCTAAAAGCAGACTGTAGGGTCAGTTCTGAGTCAGTTTTGACTTGAGGGCAATGAAAGAAAATGAGGGAGATGCTGTACAAAAAGAACTTACATGTTGGGCAATAACATCCTTGTTTCCAAGTTGAGCAATATCATAAAGAATGACAGCACAACGAGAGTGTAGTTCAGGTTCTTCGGATGCTAGGAGGTTGATCAGAGCTGGGATGCCCTCTGCTTCGACCACAGCATTTGCTACAGACATGTGGGGTGTGATATTACTCAATAGCCCAACTGTTTTGCATTGTAACTTTATTTTGGAACATTTTAGGAGATTGATTAAGGCAGGAATGGTGCCTGTAATGAAGAGACAAAGTATGACTTATTTATTATAGGATTTAAAGAATATTTAAGACATTATAATAGAAATAATTGGCAAATAATTACATAAAATAAAACATTACTTTTACATTTTAAAACTATACAAATACATTTTTATGTCTTATCAATCCAATAGACAGCTCTCCGTGCTTAGACATTTTACTTTCTTTTTAAAAAATAAAACAAAACATTTTCTCTATCTTCACTAAAGCTGGCATTTTACTTTCATATAACATACAATAAGATGTGAACTTATAGCCTTAAGCCACTTTTGTAATGCTGAATTTCAGGGTGAAGCCAAAATCTTGACCTATTATATAGAAGAGTTTTTTGTTTGTTGCATCCACTTTGAATGGCAGTATTTGTGCACTTACTTGAAATTTCTATTTTTTTTGCGTATTTTTATACAAGCAAATAGAAAACAGGAAAAATAAAGAGCAGGATCTAATAGGAAGCTGCATCAACTTCACGGGCTAAAATACAGAAATCAGGGGCTATGGTGAAAAGAGAAAAGCTGGCTTAAGTTAGATTCTGCTTGTACTCTATTCAGTATGAAAGGAAAGAACACAGAGGACATTATGGAAAATATATACAGTATACACTGTGCCTCAGCAGCAACAAAACAAGGATCCGTATTGCTGGACCAACAGGCACCACCATGATAAAAAGAGAAAAGAAGTGAAAGTGTCAATGATTTAATTTTACTTGGGTCCACAATCAACACTCATGCTAGTAGTACTTAAGGAATTAAAAGTCAGATTCATTAGGCAAATCTGCTTTTTAAAAAAAAAATTCAGATGAATTAATTTAATTCCAAGATTTCCAGAATTCTGGGCATAACAAAGAATGAAAAGCAGATTCTGACAGGACTTTGGATTGTGTTTACTTTGACTGCACAGATAAAATCAGAGTGGCAAAGTGAGAAGTGAAGAGATGGACTATCACATGGATTTTTTTTTCTTCATTGTTTTACAAAAGTTTGTTCTTAAATGTACAACAGGCTCCAAGACAATACTTCATTTTAACTATAGGTGGCAACAGACATGACAGTGGAGAATACAGATGTGTTGTTCTTTGGTTTTGTTTTTATTTTGCTTGTCTTTTATCTTCAAGGAAACTAAGAAGTAAATTAGTGTACAGATGAAGCAACTATAATTATTACCCTAATATTTGCTTTCACTAGCTTTTACTTTTCTCTATTTTTTAAATTGGTTTACTTATAAAGTTTGTATACACTGTATTGCATACTATTCTTCATTCAGACTGTTTTATACAGTTATTCACATGCATTATGTTTTATAAAATTAATCACGGTTGGTCCTTATTCATGTTTTTAAAAGGAATGGAAGTAAAGTTCACCATTGCCATAGTCACAAAGAACAGGTTATTTTTTGCCAGATTTCTTAATTCCACCTGTGGCCAGGGGAACTTTGCCTGTGGTCTTGGCTTTTCGTTCCTTGAGTTTCTTCTGTTCTTTTTGTCTCTGTTGAAAACTTTATCTTCCTCACCCATTTCCGTGATCTGCTTCTTGAGCTGTTTCAGGGGCTTCTTTTTGCCATCTTCATGGCCAGACATGGTGCCAGACACTGTTACGCAGTTCTTTAAAGTGTTAAAGAACAAAGAGGTCAGTTTAGGCGAGCTCTGGTGGCCTAGTGGCAGGAAACTGCACTGCAATCCCAGAGGTGAATGGTTCAAATCCACCAGATGCTCTGCTGAAGAAGGAGGAACAATCACCTCCTGTACCAGTCAGATCCGATTTGACGGTACACACGTTAAAAAAAAAAAAAAAAAAAAAAAAAAGAGGTCAGTTTAAAGACTAAGGTATACCTGACTCAAGTCATGGTATTTTCAATTGCTTCATATGCTTGTGAAAGGTAGACATAAGAAAGGGAGACTGAAGAAGAATAGTTATCTCTCAATTTGGTGTTGGTGAAGAGTACCAAGCATACCAAATCCTGCTATAAGAACAAAAATATCTATCTTGGAAGAAGTTCACACAGGTTGCTCATTTAGAGGCAAGGGTAAAACTTTTTTCACATTCTTCATTTTTTTAAGAGATGCCAGTCCTTGGGGAAAAAACCTCTTATGCTTAATAAAATGAGGGTCAGTGAAAGAGAGGAAGACTCTCAACAACATGGATCGAACTAGTGACTACAACCATAGGCTTGAACATGGTGAAGATTGTGAGGATAGAGTAGGATCTGGTAAGGTTTCAATTCATTGTTCACAGGGTCACTGACCATGTTTTTAAGAATAAATTAGGGAACAAATATAATAAAATAAAATTTTAATTCATTAGTCCAATAAATACTTAAGGAGCAAAACCCAGAAACATGCTGCTCTCGAGTCAGTTCTGACTCATAGTGACCTTACGTTGGGTTTCTGAAGCTGTAAATCTTTACCAGAGGAAACTGTTCATCTTTCATGCAATGAGGGGGATTTAAACCTCTGAACTTTCTATTAACAGTGGCACATGTTATGCATTACACAACCAGAGCTCTAAACTTATATTGTGGGTAGTGCCTACTATATTTAACATTTCTATCATTTAAAAAATTCTATTAAACCGTACCATTCACACAGCAATCCTATATGAACCATTTCAGTAATGAGAAAACTAGGTTTAGAGAAGTTAAGAAAGTAGACTAAGCTCTAAATGCAGAGATAATCCCAAAACCAAATCCTATTCCAAAACCTATTTTAAGTAAAATAAGTAAACAAATGCAAATACTGAATAAAGGAAAATTTAACTAGATTACTATGTGGAAAAGAAGTTGTTTCTTAAACCAAAGTAAATATTAGCGATAGTATGTCCTTTAAAATCTTTTTAAAGCTTGTAAACTTCTAGAAAAATGTAATTAGAAGAATTTTTTATACTGTTCAGTACTGAATTAGTCCTGTTTCCCAATGGAAAAGAAAAGGTTGATCTGAAAGGGTAGTGATCTTAGAAAAAAAAGACACTTAAAATCAACTTAAAATCTCCTTCTACAATGAAAAATGTATTTTAAAGTGATTGCTCTTTATATGCCAACACATAAATTAATATAAGCAAAATATACTGAATAGATTTTATTATTACCTGCATCCAAAATACATTTCCAGTATCGAGCATTTGCTAAGCAAATTACTTCAAGGGACATGACAGCCATCATCTTTCTTTTATAGTTTTCAGACTGCAACATTTCTGGTAAGTTTTCAACAGAAAAACATAAACTGTAGCTTCACAAACAGCAAGGGAATTTCTGATTGATTATATTTCTGTACAGGTCAAAGAAAACTAAGTTCACAATCATCACTACCCAAATACAATAAATAAATTCCCTGTTGTTCATGTATGTCATTGACTAAATGTTGAAGAAATCAACACTACCATGAAAAAGAGTACAGCATAAATCATTACATCACACGGATGGATCTAGAGGACATTTTTGTGTACCATCAAGTAGGAACTGACCCATACCTGTCCCTCCTGTGGGGTTCCAGAAGCCGTTAATCACCTGTGAGGAGACTGCCCATCGTTCTCACACAGAGTAGTTGGTGAATTTGAGCCGCTCAATGAGATATATACACAGATATCTACACCCATGATCTTTGAAGTTTGTCTATAGAAGTAAAGAATTTTCTGAAACACTTCCTTGGATCTCAATAGCTTAGAATGACTGGTCATATACTTCAAACTCACTTGAAAAATAGTATGTCTCCCTTGCCTGAAATCAAGTGTTGAATATGATCTAAACTTTAGTTTCCAAAGAGGGTAAAGTTAATTACATTTCCATCAGTAAATGTACAACATCCACTATATGTATTAGTCTAATAGCCACACATGAGTATAAAGAAAACATACAGTTTAAAAAAAATCTTCAGTGAATTATAATAATAATAATAATAATATAAATTATTATTATTTCCTTATTTTTAAAATGGATCCCTGGCAGTTCTCTGTTGATTTACTGTACTAGCCACTTTTGAATAATCTTCAGCAAGATTTTGCTTGCATGGGATATTAATGATGTTGATCAATAATTTGATGTTGGATCACATTTTGGGGGAATGGGAATAATATGAATATTTTCTAATCTGTTGGCAGGGTTCAGCACTATGGTGCATAGGGTCACCATGAGTTGCAGTTGACTCGATGACACATAACAACAATAGTAGAAGGCAATGAACAAGTTATAAAAACACTACTAAGTGGAAACCCCTAGCATATAACAACAAACATCATTCCTTCAGAACAGCAAGATGAGGAAGCTTGAGCTTACTCTTCAGTACTCTCAGCTTGAGAAATGCCAAGGGAGTTTCCCCCTTGTTTTCTGACTCTAGTTCTTTGCTCATTTTATTATAATCTTTTGCTTTGTCTTCTTAAGCTCCTATCTGAAATCTTCTGTCCAATTCTTTACTTTGGCATTTCTTCCCTTAATTTTGGCTTCTCATCATTCTACTAAAATATTCAGAGTCTCTTCTGACATCCAAAAATGGCCAAAATGGTACATCAACAGAGAAATGTCAGAAATTCAAGCTGCGTTTAGAAGAGGCTATGGCACCAGCATACTATTATTGCTAATGTCAGATGGATCTTGGCTGAAAGCAGAGAATACTGGAAGTATGTCTATTGCGTATTACTGACTGTGCAAAAGCATTTGACTGTGAGAGTCACAACAAATTATGGCTTACAATGAGAAGAATGGGAATCCCAGAACACATAATTGTACTCATGTGAAGTCTAAAGCTAGACCAAGAGGCTCTTGTCCAAACAGGTCTTGACTCAAGCCATGGTCTTCTCAATTATTTGTTATGCATTTGAAAGTTGGACAGTGAATAAGGATGCCAGAAGAACTGATGCCTTTGCATTGTAGTTGTAGAGAATGGTGCTGAATATCGCTTAGACTGTCAACAGAACAAACAGATCTGTCTTGGAGAAAGTGAAACCAAGATGCCTTTTGTAGTCAAAGATAGTGAAGTTTCATCTCATACACACCTTTTTTTTGTTAGTGAGGGGCCAGTTCTTAGAGAAAGATATCATATGAGGAAAGGTGGAAGGTTAGCACAGGAGAGGAAGACCCTCAACAAGATGAATTGACACAGTTGCTGCAGCAATAGCTCAAGTATATTAGAGATTGTGAGGATCAAAGAGTAGTACTAAATGGCACTTAACAACAACATATACGTATCAATATGTCTTGCACAAAGTGTAACCAGAGTGCTCTTTAGAGGTGAGGATGGCAAAGCTTCAAATTATATCTTTGGGGCATGTTGTTAGGAAGGGCCATTGCTTGGAAAGGACATCATGCTTGGAAAGGTGGAGCATCAATGAAAGAGAGGAAGACCCTTAAAGAGATGGATTGACTCAGTGACTGTAACAATGAGCTCAAGTATGTCAGAGATGATGAGGATGGCACAGGATAGGGCAGAGTTCAGGTACATTGTTTATAGAGTTACTATAAATTCTGACTAGACAGCATCTAACCGCAACAACATATACATATGAAAGTGGAACAAAAGACTTAGGAGACAGTAGAATTGATGCATCTAATTTGTATCTAATTGTATTATTTGGGTCCACAATTAACACCCTTGGACCAGCATTCAGGAAATCAGGAGACATATTGCACTGGGAAAACCTGCAGTTACTGATCTTTCCAAATTTTTGAGAAATAATGATATCATTGCGAGGACTAAGGTTTATCCGATTCAGGCCATCACTTGCTATGCATCTGAGCACTGAATAATGAATGGGGATTTCAGAAGAAAGGATGCCTTTGAGCTGTGGTGTTAGAAAAAAAAACCTCTGAACTTCCCACAGAGAGCCAACAGACTTAACAAGTATGTCTTAGAGAGAGTGCAGCCAGAGTGTTATTTGGAGGCAAGGATGAAGATGCTTTGCCTCACACACTTCAAGCATGTTGTGAGAAGGGGCTATTCCTTGGAGAGGGACATCATGCTTGAAAAAGTAGAGGGTTGGTGAAGGAGAGGAAGACCCTTGACCAGGGAGTTTGACACAGTGACTGCCTCAATGGGATCTAATGTGTCAGGAAGAGTGAGGACGGCACAGGATAGAACAGGGTTCAGATCTGTTGTTCATAGGGTCACTATGAGTTGTACTTAACTCGATGCATCTAACAATAACCACACTTGTGGTGATGGAACTAGATTTGGCACTACATTTCATACCACAGTTAGTATTAGAATAATCCTGAATATATCATGGGCTGTCAAAAGGATGAACACATCTAGTTTGGAAAAAGTATAGACATTGTTGCTGAGCGCCCTTGAGTCAGAACTCATTGCTGATCCTCCAGCTGATTTTCAGAGGCAGTAAATCGCACAGGAGAAGGTTGTCCATCCTTCACTCACGGAGAAGCAGGTAGATTTGAACCTTTGAGATGGAAAGGCAGCTTCTTACCATTTGTCGAGGCGCACAGTAAAGTCAGAACTAACCCATAGCTGACCGTCCAGCAGGTTTTCAGAGGCAATTAATCGCACGGGAGGCACTTACCCATCCTTCTCCTTTGGAGCAGCTGGTGGCCTCAAACTGCGTGCCTTGAGGACTGCAGCGCAGCTTCTTGCCACAAGGCCACCCTGATACATTTATCAAAATATGAGGACTGATATCATGCAATTTGTCTTTAAAATTCAGAGGAAAGAATTAAGTTAGAGGGGGATATTCTACATTTACACTTCTTCACCATTTTTTTTAATGGAGAACCACTGCACTTTTGGAGAAGGTTGATGTTTTTGTAATTGTGTAAAATGTAGACTGTTTAGATAACACAGTGCTTTTTTTGTATAATACCGCTTTTAAAATTTTTTAAATGTGTGTGAAAGTTTATAAATTATATTTATTTTTCATTCAATCATTCAGAGACATTTTGTTTTATAACATGAATGGCCACTGATTAATGTAATGAATAAACTATATCTGATGAACACTTATTTATTGCCTGTCCCTTCATCCCATTTATCTATTTTTTAATTCTTACTCCTCTCCTTCTTCCCTCTCATCGCTATCATTCATCCAAATGATAACTATTTTGTAGGTATTAATATGATATCTGCTTTTGATAATTTAAAACTATTTTGTGGGTCAAATATCTTAATTTAGAAATAAAAATATTTTACACATAAATATGTCACTCAGCATTATCTTTGTTTCTGGCTTTTACTCACAAAATGTTTATTACATGCTTTCTATATAAAGTATGACATGTGTTATTTCATTTCGAAGTCAGAATCAATAATTAAACTGAACTATAAAAAGCACATTAAGAAGAGATTATATACTCACCTACTAAAGTTTTCCAAACTGGGAGTTCAGGAATATTTAATTCTATTAAATACTTGAGAACTTCTGTGTGAAAACTTAACACTGACAAATGAATTATATTATTTCCTTTAATATCAGTTTTTCTCCAGTTAGCACCAAAGGAAAACAGGTACTGGATAGTGTCCAATGCTCCTGAAGTGGCAGCAAGTAACAGTGGAGTACACTGATTGCTAAAAGCCAAGAGATAAGCAATAATAAACAAGCACACTGACACTGTTGAATACACTTTTTTTAAAGTTATTAAAATTGTTGTTGGGAGGAGCATTCTGATCTATTCTATCACCTCTATGTCCTAAAGCACTCTTGCCTTCCTAGGACTAGAAAGTCTAGAACCTGTACTCCAATCCCAAATGCACGTGGTTCCAATTCACCAGTGGGTTCCCGGGAGAAGGATGGGCAACCTCTTGTGATAAACTGCCTCTGAAAACCCACTGGAGGGTCACCTATATGTCATCCTTATTGGATGACACATAATAACAACAATAATAATCTTAACTAGGGCTCTTTGGTGGCTTAATACACTGGCAACCATACAGTTTGAATCTACTGGCAAGACATACAGTTTGAAACTACCAGTCAAAGCACAAAAATAAGCAATCTTCTCATTTGTAATTGCTGCCTCTCTTTAGATAGGGAATGTCGTCCTTTTCAATTGACAGCCTCTGAAAACCGATTGGAAAGTCTGCTATGAATCAGCTTGTGGTAGTAGAGGTTCTGGTTTCCCAAAGAGGAAAGATTTATTTCTTCACTGAAATGGTAGATTAATACTCTGTCCTGAGAAAACCTAATATATTCAAAGAACAAGAACCACTTGAATAAAAATGTCTGTAAATTATTACCTATCTTGGGAGGAGCTAGAGAGCATTATGCTGAGTGAACTAACTCAGTCCCACAAGAACAAATAATTGTATAAAACCATTGCTGTGGAATGAGTATAAGGATCGAAGGGGCAGGGGAGGGTGGAAGCAGAGGGATGAAGATGTGCAGGGGGAGGGGAGGATGAATCATGGAGTGGTACAATTTGATGGGTGGGGTGTGAGGGAAATTGAAAGGATCTGTTCTGGAAAACAAAGTATTTGAATTTTGTAAATAAACTAGTATAATTAAAAAAATTTAAACACTATGCCTGAATCATGGCCAAAGATTTAAATTGTAATCTGGTCTATAAATTAGCATCCATAAAAGGATCTTATTGCAACGATTTCCCTCCTCCTCCCCTTTTTAAGTGTATTTCTTTTCTGGATACTTCTGAGTACCTCTTCTCTGTAGCTAAGGCTGATTTAGTTTTTTTTCCTGGAGCCCAAGGCTGTCTCTTGGTTGAGTAGAGTCTCATCTAGAGCAGATTTCTTTTGCTGATCTCTGATTTCTTACAGGGAATTTCATGATTATTTAATCTGATAAACTAATATCTAGGGCAAGGTCAGGGAAAACTACTCAGAATTTACTCTAATACTTACAGAAAACTGAGAAATCTAGTCTTTATGACAACAAATAAGCCTTTCATAACCTTTCAAATCATACCAATTCTGAATGGACTTGCCTTTAGTGCCAATATGCAGGGTAAATAATAAAAAGGATGAAGTTTATAATCTTATCAATGTATGGAACTTACTCAGATGTTGCCTCAGCTTCTAGTAAACTAGGATCTTTCCTACAGAGAACAATTATGATGCAGATATTATCATAGAAAGCAGCAAAATGAATTGGCATCCAACCTCTTTTTTCAGTAAGTGTATAATCTGCTTTGAAACACAGGAGACAGAGGGTTGCTTCCAGTGAACAAGCCTGTGCAGCGAGGTGTAGAGGCGTTGGGCCTGCAATGGATCAACATGCTCTTCAGTGGTCAAAGACCTAACATTTCTAAAAAGTATGCCTCATATGAAGAATATACCAGTCACAAGACTGAAATGCATTTTATACAGAACACTTTCAAAAACAGTACTCAATCAGGTGTACTTTGACTATTAATCATTATCAAGAATGAAATCACTTACTTTATACTATTTACTAGATGTTTTCAATTAAGTCGAGTAACATCTTCTTTTAACCTTCTGCTGTCCCACAAATTAAAGTACTAATTAATATATCATACTTGAATTTCATAATAATAGAATTTTCCAACTACTATTCCTTCTTCACTGTTTTCTACTTTTGCATTCCAAGTCACCAGTTATGAAATTTTTATTTTATCCTGGTTTACTTACGAAGTTCGTATACACTGTTTTTCACACTGGGTCTTTTCCATTTCCTTTACCCATCCCTCTATCTATCAAATTGTGTGACCCTATGATAACTAACCCCGGCCCCCCACCCATCCTCACTCCTCTGCTCCCTCCTCTTAGATCTTCATACTCACTTTATTAGTTATCTTTCCACTTCTACAATAATGATTTTATACTGTATCTGTCCTTACGGAACCAAGTTAGTTCACTTAGCATATTGTTTTCCAGTCCCTCTCAAGTTAGGTAGTTATTTTCAAAATCATTGCTCCTGCATGCTGAATAATATTCCATCATATGAATGTACTATAATTTCTCAATCCATCCACTGTGGTTGGATATCTGAGCTGTTTCCATGTTCTTGAGATCGTGATTAACACTGCTATAAACATTGGTATACAAATCTCTGTTTGTGCCTCAGTTATAATTTTCTGGAGGTATAATGGAATAGCTGGGTCATATGGAATTTCCATGTTGGGCTTTTTGAGGAAACTACGAACTGCCTTCTAGAGAAGTTGTAATAGTTTACAGTTCCGCCTACAGTGTATAAGAGCTCCTATCTCTCCACATACTCTCCTGCATTTATTACTTGCTGTCTATTAAATTTTGCCACTGCTAGTGGGGTGAGATGGTATCTCACTGTGGTTGATTTGCATCTCTCTTAATGGTAGTGATTTTGAGTATTTCTTCATGAGTCTGTTGGCCATCTGACTATCTTCCTCTGTGAAAAGTCTTCTCATGTCTTTTTCCCATTTTGTAATTGCAATATCAGTCTTTTTCTTATGGAAGCCCTGTAGGATTCTGTAAATATTTGATATAAGAACCTTGTCTGAAATTGTATTGCCAAATTCATTAACACATCCTGACTGCATTTTTGATCAATTTTGGAAGATTTCATAAAAATTCTCATTTTTTTTTCTCTTTGGCTCCAGATGTAGCAGCGTACATTTGAATAATAATCATGTTAACGGGTCTTTTTTACATGTGTATGGAAATTCTCCTATCACTCACAACATTGTATTGCTGAGCAAATTACCTGAGAAGCTGAAAGAGGAGTGTGGCATTAGGATTGAAGGGAGACTCATCAATAACCTGTGTTTTTGCAGATGACACAAGCTTGCTTGCTTGCTGAGAATGAAGAGGACTTGTTGCAGAAGATCAAGGAATTTTTCAATATGAATTGCATCTCAATGTCAAGATAACAAACTTCTTACCACTGGACTGATAGGCAATATCATGATGGATGGAGAATAGATTGAAACTGTCAACAGCTTCATCTTGTTTGGATCCACAATTAAAACCTTTGGTATCAGCAGTCAGGAAATGAGGAGAAGCATTGCACAGGGAAAATCTGCAGTTAAGGACTTCTCCAAATTATTGAGGAGTAATGGTGTCAGTTTGAGGACTACGGTGCATTGGATTCAGGCCATGGTCTTTCTGATCTCTTGGTATGCACCTGAGAGCTGGACAATGAATAAAGATGACAGAAAAAGAATTGACGCCTTTGAGCTGTGGTATTGGAGAAGAGCAATGAACATCCCATGTACAGCGAAGAGAATGAACAGGTATGTCTTAGAGAGGGTACAGCTGGAGTGCTCGTTGGAGTCAAGAATGATGAGACTTTGCCTCACATATGTTGAGCATGTTGCTAGGAGGTGCTATTCCTTGGAGAAGGACATGATGCTTGGAAGGGTGGAGGGTTGGTGAAGGAGAGGAAGACTCTCAACCAGATTGGTTGACATGGTGACTACCACAATGGGCTCTTGTGTGTCAGGAAGTGTGAAGATGGCACAGGATAGAACAGGGTTCAGATCTTTTGTTCATAAGGTCACTATGAGTCATACTCAACTAGACCTAACAACAACATGTATTTTTATATACATTTTGTTTTTTAACACTGAAATTACTATTTCATTCATTCATTCATTCATTCATTCGCCTTTGTATATAGCATTAATTATAATAGATTAATCATGGGGTTGCTATGAGTTGTGCTGAACTCGATGGCAATCAACAACAGTCTTATACCACAATAGTCCTTTTGTGATGGACTTATTTTGCTTAGTGGCAAGGAATTGTGTAGCCAAAGCAAAAGCACCCAGTTCAAATCCACCAGCTGCTCCACAGAAAAAAGATGAGCAGTCTCCACTCCTTTGATTATTTGCCTCTGAAACCCCACTGGAGGGTCAGCTATGGGTCAGTTTTGACTTGGCACTTCACTGCAACAACAATATCCTCCTAGATATATCTGTGTTATGAAATGTTTTATGCTGCACTTTTTTCCATAATGGAGTTGATCTATTTTTTTTTTGGTTTTTTTGTTTATGACTTTTTTTAGAATTTCTTCCATTTCTGTCTTTTTACTGCTTTCTAAATCTTTAATATTTCCCTCAGGAATGGAGCTTTTGCTGGCCTCACAGGAGCCTAGGGCAGTCTGCCTGGCTCAGGATGTCTTTGTTGGTCTAGGGTTTGGGTATAGGCAGAGTACTCGGGCAGAGATGGCTAGTGTGAAGAGACTGAAAAAAAAAACAACCCATACAGAAAGCAACTCAAAGTCATTGCCATTGAGTCAGAACTCACTTATAGCTGATCCTCCAGCAGATTTCCTATGCTGTAAATTGTACTGGAGAAGACCACCCATCTTTCTCCTGTGGAGCCACTGATGCATTCAAAACACCAGAGAGGAATGGTCTTTGGGTCACCAATGCAACTCCCTACAGACTATGCTATCAAAGATCCCTAGAGTGAAGACACAATTGCTGTCAATTTGCGATGTCCAAGGATGGAGCACTGCATGGAAGGTGCACTGCTTCAAAGATGACCACAGCGTGTGGTAAGTGAGGTAGCTCAAGCGTGTCTAGTAAGAAGCAAGGATCCCAGTCACAGGTGGTGACCCCCCCGCCCCCCCCCACTTCAGCAGGCCTCACACAGTACAGTCCATAAGCTCCAGAAGGGATCTCTGAGGGTAGAGGTGTTCAGTCTCCTGGTGCCAGAAACAAAGTGGCTGCGTGGACACGGAAAAATCTGCTAATTACCTAGTAAGGGGGGGAGGGGGAGTGGAAGGGGTTGCAGGGATGGGTAGTGGAAGAAAGCTGCTCTCCTGATTCCCGAGAGGGTAAGAGGTACAAGGAGGTGTTGCACCTTTTTTATCATCAAACAGCTGCTGGTGTAGATGCCTTCACAGTCCCAAGTCCCCAAGATTGCTAGACCTCCTTTCACAATGCTGTTTACAATTCTGTACTCCATTTCCTTATTCAGTGTTTTCATTCAGCTTCTTCAAGTTGATGCTTGAAGTACTTCTAAATATTTCCTTTTTGACTCAGGTTGCAGAATTATCCTCCATCTCTGGTATTTTTGTTTTCTGGTACTTGGGTTGAAGACTTTAGGAGGTGGCCTAGTGGTAAGTAGCTGGACTGCAATCTCAAACTCACAAGGTTTGGATCCATCAGTTGCTCTGTGGGAGAAGAATGGTCAATCTCCTATAAGATTTAGTGGCTCTGAAAACCCACTGCAGGGTCAGCTATGGTTCAGCTCTGACTCCACAGCACACAACAAAACCAAATCTGCCTTTTACACCAGCTTACCCAGAAGTCAGAAAGAACCTATTTTCTGCTTAAATTATTTTCAAATTTATTCAAATGTTTTGTAGCAAGAGATATGAGCCTTTGAAAAAATAATAGAACATGATCACAAAAGACCAGTGCTATATCACTACATCCAAATGATGTGGATGACTTTTTATCTCATTTACCTCTCAACATTATTTGACACTATTTACAACCTCTTCCTTTTTTAAGAACTATCTTCCCTTGCTCTTTGTTAGATCATACTCTTCTGTTTGCCCATCTATCTCTCTTATGATTCTTTCAGTATTATTTGGGAACGTCTTGTTGTCTTCACATTTAAATGAGCCTTCTAAGTATATCTTGGACTTTTTTTTTCTTTTCAATGACTTCATTTACCGTCTACAATTTTATCACTCGCAAGATTATGTTTCTAGATGTGATTTTCTCTGAGTTCTTGATCTCAATCTCTAATATCTAATTTACATCTCCATGTAACTCCTCAAACTTAAAAAAAATCAAGAGAAAAATCCCAAAAAGTTAAAAGGAATATAATAAATAACTACAGGCAGGGAAAAAAATGTATACTTCAAAATATTTAGAAAACAACATTATTATGATTATTATATGATAGATTATTTCATATACTCTACATTATAAGGAAAGTTTTAATATATTCAGAAATATTTTTAAATGTGCTAAATATTTTACTTATAACTTACCATTTCTTTCTTTTTTCATATCCATTTTAGATGATTCTGGGTTTTTGAAAGGAATATACATGGAGTTATGATTATTAATATATGGCAGTTTTCTGAATTAGTAAAAATAGACTGATAAATAATAACAAAATACTATGTTTAGATGCAGATATCATGACTATATCAAATAATATTAAATATAGCTTTTGGTCAAGTCATTCAGGCATAGTACATATATCTGACAATGCTCTTAGAACAGGCCTGAAAATTCTGACTTTCAGTTTTGATCTGTGATCAATACTCACAGATGGAACAATATCACATCAGTCAA